AGGTCTTTCAGTCCCTCTGCTTTGAAGTTCAACTTCTGATGCTTCTTGATGATAACTACCACATAGAAGACTTCAGGCCTTGCCTTTACTTCCAGGCTTACTTAAGATGGAATTTGCAAATGATTACATTAGGGAGAGACAAGATGCAGAGTTCTGTTTTACAAAGGGAGCAACGTTATGTAAGCTGACTTTGAATTTCGTACATTGTCAGGGAGCGGCGAGAGTGGGGCTGCTCCACCAAGGCAGGCAATCCAGGAGCCAAGGGCGACCACGCACGGGTAGGGGCAGCAACCTTGCCAACAAGGGTGCCATCCCACAGCACCAAGCCAGGCGAGCAGAACAGGGTTGGGGACGGTGACAGGTTCTGTTGAGAGTCCAGTGATCATTAGAGAAATGAGGGGTGACAAGTCGGGTCCAAGGCCAGTCCGGGAAGCCCAGTCAACCAGCCGGGAACGGCAAAGGACAGAGCTGAGGACAGAGGTCTGCCTACTGCACAGCTTGGGTGAGGACGGGGGTCCGGGCCAGAGCTAACGCGGAGCTCCCAGGCAGATGATCTGCGAGTAGGAGCCCCACACAAGGCTGCTCCAGGTGGTTAAGGACTACTGGCACACTCAGGGCCCTGGCATTTCTTCATGGATTAGCATTAGATTTCACTGTTTTTATATTTCAAGAAGCCACAGACAGAACAATAAATCTCACATTAGATACAAGAACAAGCCTCAGGCTCTTGGGCAAACATTTTAGTTACAGGAATTTATTGCTTTTAGAGAACCATTTGTATTGACATAGGAGATACATACGTTTACAATGGATCTTAGTAAGAGCCTAAATTACTTAGTGAAAGGATGAGAAGAAATGGTTAACAAACAGAAAAGAGCAACGGTTTAGTGTTCAGTCAATAATACTAATTTCTTGTTCACAGATTTCAGAGTGCTTTTCAAAGAAGCTGAAGAAGCTGAAACAGAGAGAATGAAGGAACTGTGCCTAAGCCACCCAGCAGACCAAGACCAGAGAACCAGATCTTTTGGATTTATAGTGGATCACAATCTGAACATGAATTAATGATGTTGTGCTGTTGCAAAGAAACATCAATCGTACCAGGACGTCCAGTTTTATACCAACTATGTTCCTTCTTTCTAATGGGTGGAAAATCACAGAAAAACAAGAAATCAGCAGGTCGTCTCATCCATCACCATGACCCAAAGTAGGATCAAATAAATCAGCAAAGTGCTCCAGGTTACAGCTACCTCTGGAATTATAATTGTAATGTTAATCAGCTTCCTCATACAGTCAGCCACATAGCCCCAGAAAAGCTTATGCTGGCTTAAGACAGTGTGAGAGAAAATGAGTAGCAAGGGGGAGAGGAAAGGCAGCGATGATTTATACCAGGTGGCTTATACCAGTATAACGTGCTGAACTATGATGCAACTCGATCTTACTGAATATCTTCTTTATTTTTTTAAAAAAGCATGTTTCTGAATGGTCAAGACTATTTTAGAATTTAATTCTGTTCCCCTCAGCTTTGCGTCACCTGCAAAGTTAATAAGTATGTTCTCTGTTCCGTTATTTACATTGTTAATAACAATAACAAAAAGACCCAGGCTGAAGAAAGGCTCCGGGAACCCAGCAATGTATTCCTTCCTTTTGACAGTAAACTACTGCTTGCTATCCAGAAAGTTTTGTATAGACCTTATATTTATCCAGACCGTATTTCTCTAACTTTTTAATCAAAATGCCATGTAAGTGTCAAAAACCAAATCAAACTGACAACAGGCCTGTCCTATCTACAAGGCCTGTTCCTTACTTCAGGAGAAAATCAAGTTATCTGGCATGATTTATTTTTGACAGATCCATGCTGACTGCTGTCATTCCCTGGTTATCATCTAGGTGCTAATAACAGTTTGTGAGATTATTTGTCCCAGGATTTTTTGGGGGAATTTAAGTTAATTACACTGTTTGAGCTGTATTTCTCTGGCTCCGTCCCCCCTTTGACAACAGCAATTTACAGTTGCCTCTTCTGTTTTTGCAGCATCTCTCTCACCTCCTTAATTCAGTCAGTTCTTTAACTGTCTTTCGATCATGTTCACTAGACTCAAACAATTTGAAAACATTTGGTTTATCTGAGTGCTCCTAATCTCTTCTTTACCTACACTGGGCTGAGATAATTTTGTTCTCGGCACCACCAGTCCTAACTGTCTGCTCGCAGGTGATCTGTCTTGGAAGTCTGATACAACAAAGGCACCAATCACTTTAGCTTTCTTTATAATTTGTTGACAGATTTTCTTCTCTGTTGAGTAGGGGAATAATCTTTTTCTCTGCCTTCCTCTTAGTACAAATATACTTACAGAGCAGTTTTTATCTGGTAGCTCTTGATAGTTCAATTGTTTTGCAGCACACCTTTTTTAGTCTTTCTTTCTTATTCTTAGTAATCTGACCTGCCTTCCTTTATATTTTCTTCATAGACACCTCATGATGCGGTCAAGCTAACCTTACTATTATTTCTATTCTACTCATAATTGGGATAAATGCACTCTTAGAATTATTTTTCTAAAGCATCATTCCTTTTCTTAACTCCTTTCTTCAGACTTCCTTCCTGTGAGGTCTTAACTATTAATTGCTTTAATCTTTAGCTTTCATGACACTTGTTTTTATTTAGCTGTTCTCTTTCCTTCCTATTCTATGGACAACAAACTGTCATTTTTCAAATGCTCTTCTTTGTGGGCAAAATACTGCCCACTTTCATGTTCTCAGCCAGTTATTCTTCACTGGCATTCTCTAAAAAACCAAACCAACCACCCAACCAAGCCCTCATATTCTTGTGGCTAGTCCATATTCTGAAGAAATCACTACATCTGACATACCAATACCTGACAACATATTGCCGTTCTAATTCAGGTCTTCTCACTTCGCCAAAGAAAAGCTCAGGAAAGGAGAAGTCCGAGAAACAGATTACAGACACTGCAAAAGGTGAGAGACTGAATGAAATGCAGAGGCAAGGTATAAAGCTGCCTGGGATTGCTTTTAGCAGCAGCAGCTGTCCTCTTGTACTTGACTGAGGGAGTGGAAAGGGACGGATCTGGTCCAGGTTGCTCACGGCAGCAGACAATCCAACTGGTAGACCCCTTGAGCGAAAATACTCTGTGCTTATCTTTGTGAGCAGTATTCCTGTATTTTAGAAAGAGGGGAAGAAAAGAACTGCCAAGATACGGGTGCTAGTGCTGAGCTGCTTGTTTTGAGCATTCAGGCTGTGAAGCAGGTGAAGGCAGCAGGTTTGCGTTGCAGGTTTGTGCATGTCCAGTTAGTGGAGGAGGCATTTGCAGGAGGTTTGTGCCTATTCAGGTTGCGCATCCGGTTTCTGCAGCAGGTTTGTGCATAATTACACCAACAACAGGTGTTTTAACGAATCAGCAATGACTGAGAAAAGAGCATTTTGTAGAAGAATTCTTACCAAGCTCTAATTGTGGAAAGGAGCCCTTGAAGATCTTGGAGAAGCCTGGTGGGTCCCCCTTCTTTCCCCAAAAAAGGAATAATTTCTTTCACGGCAGGACGGCAGGCACAAACTGCCTCCAGCTTTACAGACGCGGTGTTGCTGCCTCTCCGTCTGTATGGAAATCACTTCTAGTCCATATTCTGAAGTGGCGGAATTCAGGAATTCAGTTCACTCCAGGAACCAAACCTGGCCTCCGCTGCACGAGGCCCGGCTTTGCACATACGCAAGTACGCCGCACGCACACGAAGGGGGTCTGCGCCCCACGTACCGCACCAGGGCGCAGCTGACCCCGCATTCAGACTGCGGCTGAGCCGAAGCCCCCCTCAAGCTCGGCCTGCCGTGGGGCGCCGGGCAGGCGCAGGCCACTGCCATTTCTTGGCCGACTAAT